CAGGTAGACTGTAAGTTCGTTGTTCACTTCACTATTATATAATAGCAACTCCAGATAAGATATAAGTAGTGCTCGCCGACAGTAATCGATTGGTGTATTCAAAACCACGACTTTTAAGTTTGCAGTTCGTGCTTTGCGGCCTTACTTACTATCGTTGATTTTTATGTCCCTTTCTATTGTCATTCATTTAATGAGAAGAAAATTCATTGAGTTAGGTTGACGTAGATTTTATATAGTAAATTTTTACGTGGTAGAGCCACGCTGCTGCTATGTTGATAGAAGGACCACGCTATTAGAGAATACCAACGTAAAGTAGCAGCTTAACGCTGCTGTGTTTCGTATGGTGAGTGTTGAGAACCGGAGACCATTTTTACTGGAAACGAAGAATTCCATCTTAGTCCTCTCGGGTGACAACGCAACTGCATTTTGATTCGTAACCGAGGATAAATGTGGATGTCTATGAGCCACAGCATCCACTTACCATCAGGTGGACTGCGTGCTCGTGTGCCGTTAGCTAATGGGCTACTGACAGTTAGAACTAAAATAAAACTAAAATTATATACTAATCCTTCCTTGTTTAAAAATGTCTGCATAGTAGTCTTACATAAGGAATATTTGTACACAACCCTTAAATAACTGTTGCCTAATAAAATCAATTGCACCCCGTCCCACCCTATAACCTTACATCAGCCGGTAAAACGGTAACTCGCGGGTGGAGGCTTCACCGCCGCGGCTGAAAGTTCACGGCCTCCCTGCACAAATATATAGGTCATGGAAAAGCTCCGAATTAGGTCATACTGTAATAAGTTAATGGTTTTAATACTACATTTTACGAGTAATACTTATGTTTGTTAGTAAGTTGTAATCGCGTTTCGATGAAACTTATATAAGTATATAAATAAAATTGTCTATCTACTGTATCGAAATACTGCTTATCATTGAGCTGAGGTGATTATTTCCATAATCATCATCATCAATTACTTTAATATATATTACTTAATATTACCAAGCACCACATTTATATATTTAATTAATAAAAAAATTAAACTAAAAACACAATGGCAAACGAGCTAAGAGTCGATTTGATGGTAAATGGTTGGGTAATTGAGTGGTAGAACTACACAGTGGCTATTATGTCCTCCAGAATGAATTTCGGTCGCTGCCGCCAGTCTTAATGAAGATAAGCCATCTGCGTAGGACAGGATTATAGTGGACCATTGTGTGTGCAAACACAGGTGCACTCTTTAACTCTTACCCTCACAGCGTAATTATGTTGTGTTTAGTATGGTAAGCGACGTAAACCGGAAACCATTTTCACTGGTAACGACGCATTTCGTTTTTAAGAGTTGCAACGCGTCTGCATTTTGATTCCGAATCAATGATAGATGTAGGTGTTGCAGAACCACAGCATCCATTTATCATAGTCAATCTTCTATCTAAGAGGTTGATCATTATATCAGTTTCTTGACTCCAAGTAAGTAATTAATTGAATAAAACTACTGCTAAACTTTTTTTTTTTTTTTTTTTTGCTGAAGGTAAAAACTGAAGGTAGCCGGACTAACTATGACATTGGGACGTCAAACATCTCAGTCCCCCCCGTGACCATGGGCGCTGTAAAGCACCCGAAACGTCGGGATAATAATAAAAATAAATTAAAGTAATTAAACGCGATAAAATCCGTAAATAATAGTTTTATTCAATGTGTAGTGTTCGCGTAAATTTAAGAAATCATTAAGTAATTAATTCTTGGGGCAATGTATACGCTATTACACCAAAGTTCCAGAAAATATACTAGATCTCTATTACCAAATTTAAATATTTCATTAAAGAAAAACTGTATAAAAAGGGTTATTATAATATAAATGAATACATGGTTGATCATATCCCCTGGGAATGAGGTGGTCGCTTACACAGAAAATGGTTCAATGAAGAGGCGTAGTAAGAGGCTTGATTACTATATATTAAAACGTTTCGTTTTATTTTACGAGCCGTTTTGCAGTAAAGTGCATGAGAAAAACCCTATAAAATACCGTAAAATACCTTTTACACTATTTATAAATATATACTTTTGATTTTTTTTTATAAGTCATCCTTAATTGCTGAACGAACAGTTTGTTCTAAACTGATTTTACGTATGTAATAAAACGGAATTTACAGAGAACGAACGTTTCTTAAACATAGGAATCGAGCGTTATTGGTGAAACATATTATATGATGACACCGATATGGTTTGAACTTAGAACCAACTCACCAGTCTTGAATACAGGCGCAAAATAGCCAGCCTTTTAGTGTTTTAATAAATATATTAGGGTTTCAGTGTTTTAATAAATATAATGACTGCCTCGTTGGTCTAGTGGCTGTAGCAGTGCGCCTGTTGATCATCGCACGGGCCAAAAAATCGGTTTATTGAGCTTTTCCGTCAAGAAATTCTCAGTAGCCCCTCGGAGTCAGGAAAGTTGGCGGTGTCTCACCCCCGTGCCTCGGAAAGCACGTAAAGCCGTTGGTCCTCCGCCTGATCTCTCTCCAGTTGTGTCGGTTTACCGTCTCAACGGACTATGAGAGTGAGAAAATAGAGAGTGTACCTGTGCTTGCGCACACACTTGGGCAATATAACCCTGTCCTGCGCTGATGGCTAGTCTCCGTTGAGGCAGGCCGCCGAGACCGAAATTCGGTCTGGAGGACATTATTGTAATTAGATATATTACAGAAAGTGTGCACAGGAATTTTATGACTTAATTCCTCCCTCTTCATTCCATCATCGCTTCACCAGAAGCTAGGCTGGTATGCACCCTTTTGCTATCCACATATCACGCATTCAAATCAAACGGTTTACTTGGTTGTTCATGCGTAGGTACAGCAAAGGAGTGGAATAATTTACCAGCATCTCCTTTTCTGACCGTTACCGTTGCATCCTATCAAAGTCCACTAATGGACATAGGGCATTGTCCTTCCCGATAGATTGCCTCATAGGAGGGATACTTGCCATAGTTGCCACGCTTGGCAAGCGGGTTGGCAACCGCCGTTTTTAATTTTTAGTCGTTATTAGGAAGACACTGCTACGCATGTTCCCTTTGTTATGGGGTTGTGCATATTATTACATCGCTACTATATTACATCCGGGTATAAGGTGGGTGTCTTCAAGGCAAGAGTGATAGGCTTGAATAGGCTTTTGTAAAAAAAAAATTAATGCGCCTTTTTATTTTCAACTGCATTCACCATTCACCATCACGTGGGATGGTATTAAATCACTGGCTTATAATAGTAAAAAAATCACTTATTAAAAGTTTTTTTTTTTAATTTTATGACTCACGAAGTCACGACCTACCTGTCATCCAATTAATGTCTACGAGTGTCAATTTGAGTCGAAATAAAAGTGACATATAAAATAAAATGGCGCGTAATTTCGCAATTAGTGGAATTTGAATACTCGATTCAGAGTCACGCTCGTTATTTGACACGACAATTCGTGTTATATATACATATATAAAAAATTTAAGTATCTGTCTGCCAGTACGGGCTGATCTACGGATTGGCTGAATCGATTGTGATGAAACTTTAAACACAAGATACAGAGTAATACCAGAAAAATATAAAACAAGGCTGTATCTTAAAATTAATGTTATGATTATCATAAGTCGAAATAACGCCACATGAATGGATCTTAGTCAGGCAAAGCCAGGGCGGGTTTCTATTCTTTGTCGTAGGATTATTAGATAAACCGATATTTAAGCAAAAATCCAGGGATATCGCGTACATACGGATAATTAGACGATTGGTGAAATTTGTTCTAAAACCGAATCAGCACGCCCCGACTCCCTAGAGTTTGTAAAGTAGTAGGCGTGGAGGGAGAACAACTCCCGCCCGCCATAGCAAATTGCAGGTACCCGTGCGAGCCGTATCGGCTGAGGCTGATCGCCGAAGACGAACAATAAGCCAAAGCTGCGGAGGTGAGCATGGATGCCTGCGATTTGCTACGCGAGGGCGAAGGGGCTGCACTTCCTGCAGCGCCGAAGCTATTACATAAGTAACTTTGGGTCAATATTCCTGTGTAAAATGTGAGGTTCTCATTTTACAATAAAAACAATTAATCATAAACTATACGCCTATAAACCAAAATCATGCCAATCAAAGTTAAGTATATTCAAAATTGTAAAACCCTTATTGAGAAATGTCATAGCCACTGTCTAATTATCCGTGTTTTCGCGATATCCCTAGATTTTTGTTAAAAATTCGGTTAATCTAATTATCCTACGACATAAACATATTATAATTCATCTGTCCGTGTGTATGTGACTGAACTCTTCCTAAACGGCTGGACTGATTTTGATGAAATTTTCGATGTGATTAAGTTGATTCCAGAATGGTTTAGATTCACAATTGAAGCCGGTTGGTGGCGCCGTTGTCGAGATCCAGAAATCACTCGCGCGAAGCTGGGCCGGATCGCTAGTGGTCTTATAGAATAACAACAGCAAAAAGGCAGTACAAGGCTAAATGTTCAATTTGTGGATAATAAAAACCAACAGCCCAGACAAACAAACCGTCCACCTGAGGGCAAGTGGGTGCTGTGACCTACATGTCAAATACGTTTCCACCCCCGGGGACTAAGATCGAATGCTTCATTACCAGCAAAATGTATCTCTGGCTCTCATTTGTGATGAGATGATAATGTGAGAGATGTGCATGTTAACATCTCTCACATTATCATCATCAGCTGATCTTTCTACGGTCCAACCTAATTAGGCTGTAGCGTGGCTCTGCCTCGTAAAAAAGGTACCAAATTTGAGAACAATTATGGAAAATAAAGAAATAAAAACACTTAATAGCAATTGTGCTACGAGAAAGTGAGAGAACCAAGGGCTTTTTTTGATGTAAATATACTAGCTTTAGCCTGCGACTTTGTCCACGTGGAAACAGTAACGATTTTACATTCTCTATACCGCGGTAATTATCATATATGAATCCGTTTATGACTGATTGTGTAACAAACGTTCAACCTGAAGATGTTTGAATTTATGACGCCTTACAAGATGTTTGAATTTATGACGCCTTACAAGATGTTTGAATTTATGACGCCTTACAAGATGTTTGAATTTATGACGCCTTACAAGATGTTTGAATTTATGACGCCTTACAAGATGTTTGAATTTATGACGCCTTACAAGATGTTTGAATTTATGACGCCTTACAAGATGTTTGAATTTATGACGCCTTACAAGATGTTTGAATTTATGACGCCTTACAAGATGTTTGAATTTATGACGCCTTACAAGATGTTTGAATTTATGACGCCTTACAAGATGTTTGAATTTATGACGCCTTACAAGATGTTTGAATTTATGACGCCCTTACAAGATGTTTGAATTTATGACGCCTTACAAGATGTTTGAATTTATGACGCCTTACAAGATGTTTGAATTTATGACGCCTTACAAGATGTTTGAATTTATGACGCCTTACAAGATGTTTGAATTTATGACGCCTTACAAGATGTTTGAATTTATGACGCCTTACAAGATGTTTGAATTTATGACGCCTTACAAGATGTTTGAATTTATGACGCCTTACAAGATGTTTGAATTTATGACGCCTTACAAGATGTTTGAATTTATGACGCCTTACAAGATGTTTGAATTTATGACGCCTTACAAGATGTTTGAATTTATGACGCCTTACAAGATGTTTGAATTTATGACGCCTTACAAGATGTTTGAATTTATGACGCCTTACAAGATGTTTGAATTTATGACGCCTTACAAGATGTTTGAATTTATGACGCCTTACAAGATGTTTGAATTTATGACGCCTTACAAGATGTTTGAATTTATGACGCCTTACAAGATGTTTGAATTTATGACGCCTTACAAGATGTTTGAATTTATGACGCCTTACAAGATGTTTGAATTTATGACGCCTTACAAGATGTTTGAATTTATGACGCCTTACAAGATGTTTGAATTTATGACGCCTTACAAGATGTTTGAATTTATGACGCCTTACAAGATGTTTGAATTTATGACGCCTTACAAGATGTTTGAATTTATGACGCCTTACAAGATGTTTGAATTTATGACGCCTTACGACACTATACGTGTTTGCTCACAAGATGTTTGAATTTATGACGCCTTACAAGATGTTTGAATTATGACGCCTTACAAGATGTTCGAATTTATACGCCTTACAAGATGTCGAATTGAGCACGCTTCCTGCAGATGTCGTAGAATTTGAAGATTTTTCCAAAGATGTTTTTGAATTTATGACGCCTTACAAGATGTTTTAGAACTCAAAATTATTTTATTACAGCCTTTCATTTTCTGAATTTATGACGCCTTACAAGCATGTCTTGAATTTATGACGCCTTACAAGATGTTTGAATTTATGACGCCTTACAAGATGTTTGAATTTATGACGCCTTACAAGATGTTTGAATTTATGACGCCTTACAAGATGTTTGAATTTATGACGCCTTACAAGATGTTTGAATTTATGACGCCTTACAAGATGTTTCGAATTTTTATGTGACGCCTTACAAGATGTTTGAATTTATGACGCCTTACAAGATGTTTGAATTTATGACGCCTTACAAGATGTTTGAATTTATGACGCCTTACAAGATGTTTGAATTTATGACGCCTTACAAGATGTTTGAATTTATGACGCCTTACAAGATGTTTGAATTTATGACGCCTTACAAGATGTTTGAATTTATGACGCCTTACAAGATGTTTGAATTTATGACGCCTTACAAGATGTTTGAATTTATGACGCCTTACAAGATGTTTGAATTTATGACGCCTTACAAGATGTTTGAATTTATGACGCCTTACAAGATGTTTGAATTTATGACGCCTTACAAGATGTTTGAATTTATGACGCCTTACAAGATGTTTGAATTTATGACGCCTTACAAGATGTTTGAATTTATGACGCCTTACAAGCTTTCACATTATCACCATTATCATATTACAGCCCTTCACAAGAATGGCTAACCAAGGAACGCCACAAAGCACGGTCCTTATCCATATGCATCCTTAGACTTCCTGCATGTCCAGGTCGTCACTCCTCTTAGTGAGAGGTCGTCCTACACTTTCGTTTACCGATACGAAACTGCTACTCAAGAACCTTTCCACTTCGGGTTCTACATACACTAAGTTATATTTTTATAAACTAAACTAAGTCTCTCATACTCAGTTGTCGATGCTCGATCGAGAGAGGACCACGCTCTCACAGAATAGCATAGCCAGCGTAAAATATCAGCTTAGTATTGCTGTGTTTCGTATGGTGAGTGTAGACATCCCGAAAACTTTTATTACTGTAAACGAGGCATTCCATCTTAATCCTCAGGGGTGACAACGCATCTGCGTTTTGATTCTTAACCAAGGATAAATGTAGATGTCTATGGGCCACAGCACCCACTTACCATCAGGTGGACTGTCCGCTCTTTTATCACCCTTATTCTATACAAAAACAGTAACTAACTATGCTTCAAATAAATAATTCCTTGATTTATAAAAGTTATTGATTTTATAAGACATATTTTAAAATGGCGGCGGAAGTGAACAAACGTCAGTCTAATGACTTATTTAGTTATTCCTTTCAGTTGTGTCCCCTATTTACATATTCCGTTTCAAGGCGACCTACATTCAGGCATATAATTTGCTGCTGTAGTTTAACAAAATTAGACATAGCTCTTTGAGACGTGAACTTTTTAAATATTAAAACGGAAATGGCGGCTCACATATGTTCGCTCGTTTATGAGTGTAAATAAATAATGTGCGCGCGAAAACCAGAGAGCTAAAATGAGGCAAGTTTTAATTTGTTGAGTAGCTAGGATTAATCAGGTATTTGTAATTTTGTTTATTATTTTGAAATATCTATCAAACGATTTTCGTTTTTGTATTGAAACGTAAGTCAGAAGGGAAACGAATCAAGAAATGGTAAGAATGATTTCTTAATTTACGGAAATATACACCTTGTCACAAGGATGGATGGATCTGCTCGACCGGGGAAGGACCACGCTCTCACAGAATACCAGCATAAAATAGCTCCATCCACTACAAAATAAAATTACAAAAATAACTCACAAAAACCCCCCCACCCACCCCCCAAAAACACCACCCCTAATATTGCTGTTTCGTATGTTGAGTGTAGAGAAACAAATACCTTTTTTACAGATAACGATATACTTAGTCTTCAAGGGTGATAATGCGTTCACATTTTGATTTTTTATCGAGGGTAGATATCGGTGTCTATGGACCACAGTCACTTAACATCAGGTACATTATGTGTTCATTTATCACCCTTATTCGACAGTCTAACATGTTTTCTAAATTACCTAACTTATGTTCTAAGACTGCGCTTATTCTATAAAATTAAAGAAATTAAACTGAAATGTCGTAGATGGCGATGATAGAGTACCAAGTAATTATTTTTTGAAAATTGACAGAGATTCTTCGCTTCACAATTCTATGCTGTCTATGTTTATCGTGTCCTAGTCTAAATACCGTGTATTCTCTTTGGACTTTCTCTAAAATACTGTTAACTTAAGGAAAAACTCAGGCGTTAACTTTGCGGAAATCCATTATATTAAAATCTAATTTTCTGAGATTCGCGTAAATAAAGTAAAATGATCTGTGTAACCCAGTTTAAAGAGCATCTCCCGCCCTCCCTCAATTGCGATAATACAATTTATCGACGGTGGTGTGTCTTTATTAGCGTGGTGTTGGTAGTAGTGTTGCTGGGATTAATGGTGACGGGGATAGTGCACGAAATTCATGGAGGACGTTAGGAACTCTTGAAATTGGGTTAGACACATCATTTTATTTTATTACGCGGATTATAGTAAATTATTTTTTAACATCTTTAAACATTTAATTATATCCAGAAAAACGGTACGTTAAGTTGACATTTACAGGGTTAAGTAGTAGTTGTATGCCATGCGCTGTATACTCGTTCAACTATCCAAGCGGTGAACTCAGTTGAGAGCGCCATACAATGGACCACTTTCCACTCGACTGAAGAAGCTTTGATTAGATGGGTGTCGTTTTTACGTCGATAATTCTCAAATGACTAGGATTTTTTTATAAAATAAGAGAGATAAACGCGCACACAGTCCACCTGATGGTAAGTGGATGCTGTGGCCGTAGACATCAGACTGAATACAGAATGTGTTTTCACACCTGGGGCTGTGACGGAATACCTCGTTTCCAGTAAAAAGGATCTCCGGTTCTCTAAACTTATCGTACGAAACACAGTAGCATTAAGCTACTGTTTTACGTTGGTATTCTGTGAGAGCGTGATCCTATGTAACACGGACACGGACTGCGGTACTACTGTGCTGTTATTTATATCTCTTTCTTTATATCTGTTAATTATAATGTAAAATTATCTTTCAAACTATTTATTATATTGGTATTAAAGTATAATATCATAATATATGGTATTAACTTTATTTTTAAATTATATGCTTGAATTTATTCTTAGTCTGGCTTTGTCTACATCCCATTTGATTGTATTATGAGTTTAAGATGGCGTATATTAGCGTTAATAAGTTTAAATAAGAGTCTATATTAATGCAATGTAAGAAATAAAGACCACTGTTGGCCACTGCATTTTAAGGACACTTGCAACCAACTTCAAGTGCGTCGTCACCTCTAAGGATTTAAATGAAATTCTCGCAGTCTGTAACCATACATCTTGTAGCATCCGAACTAGAATACAGAAATAGGTGCCCTGTTAGGGATGCAGAAATAGACAAGACGTTGGATTCAACTCCTAGACCGAAAAAAACACCTCTCACCTAGAAACTGAATATATTTTATATATTAATAAGCATTATTATTTAAACATATTAAGTAGTAGTTCAAATATTTTAAATTGAAAAGATTGTAAAAATTGGAATTCAAATAAGTAGTAATAAATTGTAATTCAAATAGATAGTTCTAATAATTGTAATATTATTTAAATAACTGTCAACTATAACTTTGCATGGCCGTCATGAAGGCGAAATATGTTCTGTGCTATATCTATAACTTAAATTAACATCTTGTGTACCCACCATAGTTAAAGTTAAAGACAGTCTATATAAAAGTTTTTAAAAATAGGGAAGTTATGGGTTCCACCCCGATTTTCGAAAAAAGAGTTTTCATCAGATCTCGACGTTTTGAGATCCCAGGAAGCTATTCTGACTAATTTCATGTGAACGTCCGTATGTATGTATGCGCGCTTGTGTGTGTGTGTGTGTGTGTGTGTGTGTGTGTGTGTGTGTGTGTGTGTGTGTGTGTGTGTGTGTGTGTGTGCGTGCGAGCAAGCGTGCGTGCGTGCGTGCGTGCGTGCCTGTGTGTGTTTGTGTGTGTAAGTATGTAAGCCATTTATAACTTTTGAACGTCTTGATCAATTGAGATGCGGTTTGCGGCGTTCTAAATAATCTCAATGTGGAATAGATTCGGTGATAATATGAACTGATGCGGACAAGTAGATTGTGAGAAATCTCAAAAATAAAAATTTTGGGTAACTGTTTTTTTGGAATAACTTTAAACGGCTGTACCGATCGATTTTAAAAGCACATCAGCTCTTAACCTCAAAAAATGACGTCTAGTGCCGTTTGGAAAATAAAAATCGGTCCATTCGTTTTTACACATACATAATTTCGAGATTTCGCAACATAATTTGGTGAAATTTGGAGCGCTTTGCATTTGAAATTAGCTGGCAGTTCCAGGGATGGTCTGCAGGGTCAAGAAATTTTTATTTACTGGTGAAACTAAGTAAAGAAGAAATTATTAAGCAACACTGTGATTGCGTTTAAAATTGATTTGAGGAAATTTTGTTATCTATATCAAAAAAGTGTAGTGGCGGTGTAAGAGTTATTACCCCATATCATCCCGTGGGTACCGTAAGAGGCGACAGAGGGAAACAAATCAGGATATGAGCAGCAGCGTCTTCCTAATAATGATTAAAGTAAAACTGATATGATGCAATCTGTGGGGCTTATGTCCAACAGTATTGAAGTTAATACGCTGTAATGGTAACGGTATATAAAAAACGTATCGTACATACGTAACCATGCTACTTAACCATCTAAGGACACAAAACAGTAACAAGAAGCAGTTTACCACTTACGATTTTTCCGGACCGATATGACCTGGGGACCTTCAAGAAAAGAGTTTACTCCCTTCTAAAGGGCCGGCAACGCACCTGCAATTCCCCTGGTGTTGCGGTTGATCATGGGCGGCGGTAGTCACTTAACATCAGGTGAGCCGCACGCTCGTTTGCTCCCTCTTCTATAAAAAAAGTCTCCAGCCTCTATACAGAAAAACTTACAAACTTTTTATTAATCTATGAGAATCGATTATATCGATGAGTATCATTATGTATTCTAAGGTAACATACTTCTGTATTTGTTAACTGGGAGGGAGACCTGATGACCTGAAATACAGGTTGTTACTTGTTGTTGTTAATTGTTGTTGTTACTCACGTTAATTTGTGCCTTTTTTGTCAAAATCCGATACTGTTAATTTAATGTGGAGAGAAAATAAATTATCAATTGCAGCCTATAAAACTCAATTGTTGAACAAATGCCTCGCCCATAGATGGTCTCGTAGGTGGAAGGGGGGGGGGGTAGGGATTTAGCCATAGTTGCCACTCTTGACACGCGGGTTGCCCCCCCCCCCCCCCAGTTTGTTATTATTTTCAGTTGTAATCACGACAATGCTGCTGCCCGTTTCCTTTTTCAGTTTCCCTCTTTCGCTCCTTACGTCACCAACGAGATGATATGGATATGGGGTAGTGGGGTAGTGGATACTCTTACAACGCCACTACACGGTTCACAGGGGGGTGGGACAAAGAAAAAAACCCAAAGAGTAACTGACATATCCCAACGGATCAGTAAGCTGAATTGGCAGTAGGCCGGCCATATCGTTTGACGAGTTGACAACCAATGGGAAGAAAGTTTCTACAGAGGTAGCCTCGTACTAGCAAGCGATGGCTTGCT